CACGTAACGCATGACAACTAACTGTGTGCTGACGTAACTATCTACATGTCGTTTTTTTCCATTTTTGTATTTTAGCTCCAATTTTCAAAATTTCATTTCAAATAAGTCATTCTTTATTTTTAGTTTAATTCATTCTTTTTAAAATTATTTTTAAATATATTTAAAATACATATTTTTAAAAAATCTAAAAAAATTAAAATTAACAATTTTTATAATTATTATTTAAAATACATTTTGTCATCTTGAACCTAAATTGCGGGCTCAGAATGTTGTAGTTTAAGCCTAAGAAAAAGATAAATTCTGTTCGAAGAAATAATATGATATCAAATTAATTAAATGTCAACAAAAAGTTTTTCTCTGTGTCGATCTCTCATAGGGTTTCACTTGCTGAGCAAGTTTCTTTTCCATAAATTATTTATTAACTAGTGTAGTAGTATGGCAGAATTTGGTTTTTTTTCCCTTATCCATAACTAGGGTAAAATTTTACAGTAATGAATCTGCAATAATCAAAATATTATGACAAACAACAGAAAAAGGAATGTCAGGATTTCAATTGACTACCAAAAAAAAAAAAAAGAAAAGATCAATGGGCCTGCCAGCGATTACAAAAACAAAACTGCCGGGTGAGAGGGGAGGGGGGAGAGCGCTTGGCGAAATCATTCACATCCTACTCATCATTGTATCGGTTAATTGAAAAAATTCTTCAAGCCCTTTGTTCAATAGAGTTTTCAAGGACTTGGATCCCTGGCCCATATACCAATCTGCACCGTTCACTGAATGACCCAACCAGTCGAGACACAACCTCCTTAAAGAAGATTGATGCAACCTGCCAACCAACAAAATTATGCTTCAATCTGGCTGAATGCAGCCCCATATTTATACTTCCAACCAAAATTTTGATAATGTTCAACAGTATTGCAAGATTTGGACATACGTGGCTGGGTTAAGTGTGACAGAAAATACTTATAATCCTCTAATTTTCTTTGATAAGATATTTGAATGCCATTTCTTCCAGACATATGCGTCACTCTAACCAAACCAAGTGTATCTTCGTGCTTCTCTATTTTATCCATATGTAGTACCATATAAATGTAAATGCTAACTAAGGTTAAATGTAGGTTCCAAGCTTCCAGCTACAAATGACAACCACAGGGCATGACTGGATAAAAATACCTTCCACAAGAAAAAAGAAAAGGCAACCAACAAACAAACAGAAAAAAAATACATATAATTAACAGCATGTAATTTTAGAACCTAAGTTCCATCACGGAAAAGGTAGAAGAGTGAAAAGAACTGTGACCATAGAATTAGAAGCAGCAAGGTTAAGCAAAGGAAACCCTTAATTCTCCTATGAAATTTGCAAACTAACAGGGAAGATTTATCCCACATAGCCCTTTGGTAAGAAAGCATGCTAATGAGGACAACTGTGATGAAGTTAGAGTACTAAGATCTAGAGAAGGAAAACATAAAATATGATATACCTGCACCAGTAATTTTAGGGAAGACTGAAGATGGTCAAAT